TAAACAGAATCTAGGATTCATCTGTGAGACTTCAAGATACATGTGCGAGGTTTAAGTTGCTTTTGACAGCTCCGGCCAAGTGGGGCCAACAGAAACTTAACACTTTTGATTGAGGCTATGTTGAAAATAGAGAGCGAGTGAGTGAGTGAGTTTAGTTTTACGCCGCACTCAGCAATATTCCAGCTATATGGCGGCGGTCTGTAAATAATCGAGTATGGATCAGACAATCCAGTGATCAACTGCATGAACATCGATCTGCGCATTTCGGAACCGATGACATATGTCAACCAAGTCAGCGAGTCTGACCACCCGCTCCCGTTACGACAAGCATGGGTTACTGAAGGCACTTTCTAATCCGGACCTTCACGGGTGAAAATGGAGAGAGAAAGGGCTGGAAAAGTGATATATAGGTAGATGTAATACTAATCTGTGAATTAAAACGCAATTCAAGATACATGTGTGAGGTTTAAGCTGCTTTTGACGGCCCGAGGTATGCCGGACCGAACAATAGTGGCGGTGATTATGTTTAGAGTGTGGGGAAGAGATCGTTCATTTGCAGATGGGTATGCCTTACATGTAATGAACAGTGGCCTTCTAGGGTGGTATTTGATTGGATATAGGTGTAAAAACATTTTCGGGTAGACAGAAATGTTTATCGGGAGTGACTGAAGCATTTTTTGCGTTTTAAATCCTGTTTCGTTTAACGATTCTTCTTTTAGACGTAACCTTGGTCAGCCACGTTCAGAGGCCGATAATCACTCGATAAAGTCCGACGTCGCCTGCGACGTCGCTCACGACGTCGCCCACGACGTCGTCCACAACGTCGTTCACGACGTCGCCCACGACCTCGCCCACGACGTCGCCCGTTATTTCTGTAGCCAAAATATATTTTACAAAGCGCGACGTCGTCTGTTTTATGCGACGTCGTGGGCGACGTCGCCCACGACGTACTTCTTTTTTTACGCGCCACGCGATGGCAATTATAGGACACCATATCTATTTGACAGAAAAAATACACGATCATAAATTTTCAGTATTGACATTGGTCAGAGTACCAAATAAACATTTAGAGGCATCAAGCTTACTACATTGTGCCACCAAGCGAACCAAGTGGGTACATCGTCAATACGGCCTATCCAGTAACTGTAGAAAGGCTGGTGTAGTGTGTGTTGGTGCCACCTGATGTCATGTCATCCTCGATAATCTCCAGGGTATACGTTTCGATAACTACATAGTGGAGAGTTATCGTAACCTATACCGTGGAGATTATCGAGGATGAAAGCATGTGTGACAGGGCCTTTAAGAGACCGTTCGTAATTTATGGCTAGGGGGAGATGATGGTTGTTATGGAGAAGCATGTACAAAGTGAATGACGCCCACCCACCCCCCTAAAATATCTGTACAAAGTAAGTGATGTCATGTACAAAATCAATGCCCCCGCCCCCCCCACACACACACACATAATTTTTAAGCATATTTTTTAAATAGTAATGTATGCAAAATTGTTGATCCATCCCCTAGTAGATGTTTACAAAATTGATGACCCCCCTACCGCCGCAGAACAAAATGGGTCAAACCCCACCACCACCACCTTTTCTCAAAATCATCACCACCCCCTTAGCTATAATTTTAGTCTCTCGTACAGACCCTGAAGCAAATATATCCAAGAAAGCCCACACAAGTCTAGAAAATGTGGCAAGTCTAGATTTCCTCAGCTTCAGCTGAAAATGAAGAAAGTCTCAGGGCTCCTTTTCATTATATTTTATATTTTATATTTTTTTACTGTGAACCTTTTTCAGTAAAATATGTTCATTTCAGAGACTAGTTGTTAGTCTACTATAAATTATGAACGGTCCCTATGGGGTATCTGGGTCATCTGGGGTTACTCATGACAAGGACTGCCCAGCATTGGTTGAGAGCTAGAGATCTACTGATAAGAGACAGGGAGAGAGCGAAAGAGTGAAATACAGAGTGTGAGAGCCAGGAGTGAAAGGAGTTGGTGTTGAGAGAATGCTCCAGCAGGGGTGGAAATAACTTTAAAATTGCTAGTGTACTCCGGTCCAGTGACACATGTAAAATTACTTGCCCTGATAATTTTTCCTCTATACCGGCCGTTTTCTTGTTGATTTTTTAAATAAACAACATAATTAATATTGGAAAGTCAACTGGACAGCGGTACAGTAGGATATACAAATTTGGCAATGGGTTATTTCCACCCCTGCTCAATGTGCCTCACTACGCTGACCAGAATTAATCGGAACTGCACTTTATACGCTGTTGTGTTTTCATTACTTAACGCGAGTATAGAGAGGGAGTGAGTTTAGTTTTACGCCACTTTAAGCTATTTTCCACCATCACGGCGGGGGGCATCAGAAATGGGCTTCACACATTGTACCCACGTGGGGAATCTAACCCAGGTCTTCGGCGTGACAAGCTACCCCATTGCCCCATGTGTAGAGAGAAGTGCCATCCAACGTGATCACACTTGATTTCTATACATTGTGAAGCCCATTTCTGAAGTCTCCCTCCGTGATATTGCTGGAATATTGCTAAAAGTGGCGTAAAACTCACTCACTCACTCTTTCCAAAATGATCCAATAATGGTAAGAACGGCGAGGCTTAATGTATGTTTTGGGATCCATGGCATACCTTTCTGCCGTCCATTTAGATAAAGGGATCTAAAACCATGTGTGTACCCACACCAAAGAAAACAATTATTTTTTATAAATTACGACTTATTAAAGTACATATACGAAACTGATACTACAGACAAGTACTGGGTGTATAATCAAATAATTTTTTATTCATTTCACTCTGAGTAAATGAACCTCCCTTTTCATAGTTCGATGTGTTTCGTCAAGAATTTTGAATTCAGATTCATTCTTAAGATTCTGTTATTGATTTCATATTTCGCGCGAAATATTCCGGTTACTGTAAGGAGAGGTTTCGTATTCAGTAACACCTCTTAGTAGCCTACGTTCACATAGTAACACGAGATTCGTCAACACTCGCCCCTTTCCGTAACCTGCAAAAAATATTGGATATAGACGTGTCCGCATTCCAGCTAGTACATTTACAAAGCACGTTAGAGTTTTCTACTGTACAGGTACGGTATCCTCAACGTTCACTGTGACATATACGACTACAGACATATGCTCTCAGTTTGTGCCAGTGCAGTTTTGGTAGTCTGGATTGGTTCAGAACATTCTGCGATTCACAAACATAATATTGACGACAAAAGGTGGTGTCGAATAATATTTGTGAACGTAATTATCTCGTTCAGGGAAATAGTATCATTAGCCGCCGATACAAGCTCATTGCAGCGCTATGAGCATTATATCTGTACATGGAGATTGCAAGCGGATGTATTCATGGGAGTTTTGTCTGGATGGCAGGTGTAGCAGAATGATCTGATAGCGAGAAACGATGTCTGTTTGTAGCCTCGAGTTTTCATTCCCGCGTTCGTTTCTTGTGAAAATATACCAAAAAAGGTTCAGTGCACCTTTTGTCGAATACTCAGCATCATACCTAAATGCAAACTTCGACTTGAAGCGTTGTGCGGTAAGGACAATAAATGACGATCGTCTCGCAAAGCAATGTCAGTTGAGAACAGAACTTTATGACCTTTTGGCTCAGTCGGCCTCAAGTTCTGAGGGCAAGATCGTTGTGGAATTAAGGAAACTGGCGGTAGATGTGTCAAAATCTGCAATTCGAATTAGCTTATTTGATATTATTGATCAGCCATTCCGGGCCGAACAGTCAGATACTGACAATGAGAGTACAGCTACCATAGACCGTATCAACTTTACTCTCCCCCATTCCTATGTTTTGAAAAGCGTGAAGAATACGGCAGGGTCGAGTTTTCATCTGGAAGCATGGTACCTCGGTCAAGGTGGAGTTGTACTTCCTTGCATGTTAAACACAACCTGTGAGTGTCTTGACGATGGAGGCGGTGAGCAACTGACATTAGTCTTTGATGGTCTGATCTTAAATACCCAGACCAGACCTTTAACCATGAAGTTTTTATCAGCAAGTATTAATTCACAGGACAGCAATAGTGACAAAGCATTAAAGTCTTCACAGAGTGCTGAACTTACAAAGATACCAAGCAGTTCAGAAACTGTAACTCCGCAAAAAGAACATGCAGTGGATTCACTACTAAGTTCTGAAACTGGATCGGCACAGATAGGAGACTCCCAAGTTGCACCAATCTTATATCCTTTGATCACATCCACCATGACTCCAAGTGATGAGGCTGCCCCAATTAACATCCCATTACAAGTGTCAGCTTGTCCAAACACTTCAACAGTCAGTAGTAAACACACTCCAAAGAAAATGATCCTACATGTGATCCAAGTTACAGCTCTCTTGTTCATATTGAAGAAATAATCGCCAATGATTTTTCCACATCCAAAACCAACGATACAGATTCTGAGTCAATGGAACAGCCTGGTACAATTTCGGAAAGTGTTAAAGAAAATATTTCTGCATCCATATCGGAGTTACAGAAAAATGGTGAGACGTCTGAACAGAAAACTAATGACACATGTTTACAAAGAAGTAAGGACATAGGACCTGTTATTGGTGTTGATCATGATGCTTCTTGTTCAGTTGAAAAGGCCAATGACAAGGGAGAAAATGACGATTGTCTCGCCAAGGGACACACCATGGAACTTATTGACCCAGTAAGTGGGATGATGACAATAATGAGGGTGAGTGATGATGAAGATGAGGAAGAAATTGAAATAGTTGGTGTCGAAGATAGTGGCAAATCAAAAGAAGTCCAGAAATCAAACAAAACACAAAAAAAGATAGCGGAGGATAATTCTGATATACATAAGATTGTTGCCAGTATTGTTGAATCGTTACATGTGGATAATGCTCAAAAAGAAAGCAGCTCAGTGTCGGCTTCTAATAATCAGGTGATGAACGTGGACTCCCGTTTGAAGTCTCAAACAGAGTTTCAGTCCTCTGCCGATAAGTTCATTGGGTTGCCCCGGTTCGTCTAGATATGCTGCCAGGTGTGATGGGGAATGTCCTTGACCCTGGTGCAACACAGGGACAAGTGAGTCTACTGCTTGGTGCTAACTCCAAACAGGATCCGCTGAATAAGGGTAAGACCTCTAAATAATATAGATAAACGTATGTGAATGGCATTGAGAAATGATATTTAGAAGTGAAAATTTATGTATCTCAGCTTCTTTATTTTAACATGTAAAAGGAACACAACATTCAGAAATACATGCTTTGTCCTTCAGTCAAAGTCAGGTAAAAAATGGTTTATTGTACAAAAGGCCTCCGGCCCATGTACATATCATACTGTTACACACAGGAAGTAACTGTGAGCTAGGATGAAGAGCTTGAACATATGTATAGCTGGGGAGAACAGAAGTAATAATGCGATGAAAGATGACAATGTCTGCCGTAATGTTTTGTGTTGAAACCCTGCAAATACACATTGTTTGTGCCAAGATATTTCTTGGCTTCAGAATCAAATCCAATTTAACAACATTTTTTGACCTGCATGCAATCACATTGATTTTATAATTGTCGCTACCATAGTTACAACGAATGTTGATGATAGTTTGATACTGTGGTTTTGTTTACATAGACATTGGTTCATGAGGTTTTGTGGGGCAGAAACTCATTCACAAAGTGAGAATTCACATGTTTGTCTGTGTCCTTAGTAAGTGTTGATACATTGTTGTAATAGGGAGGAGCACCCATGTTGGAGAGTTTGATCCGGAGTGGGCAGACCACTTTCCCTGGCTCATGTATGACCAGAACCAACACATCATGTTCTGTCAGGTGAGAAATGACGCAAACATACCAGTATGCCTTCTTGTTTTGTGTGGTCCAGACTTGATTATTTACAGACCGCCGCATATAGCTGGAATATTGCGGAGTGCGGCGTAAAAACTAATCTCACTCACTCACTTTTGTTTTGTCAGGATTTCACATTGCATGGCTTTACCATGTAATCAGAATCCTAGCACTACACGTGTTATGCAGCATGAAGGGATCCAGTATAATTATATTTGAACCATTTTTCAACAAGCTCAACCCATGCCAGGATTCTCCCTTTAGGGGTGGAAATAACTTTAAAATTGCTAGTGTACTCCGGTACAGTGGCACATGTAAAATCACTTGCCCTGATAATTTTTCCGCTATATAAGGGCCATTTTCTTGTTGATTTTTTAAATAAACAACATAATTAACATTGGAAAGTCAACTGGACACCGGTACAGTGTGATATACAAATTTGCTTGTTAATGGCAATGGGTTATTTCCACCCCTGCCCTTATTTTGTTAGAAAGCTGTGTATTTGTCATTCCATGACTATACAAAAGTCTTGGACTAAACATGCAAAGGAGCATGAAGGAATCCAGTAAAAAGTTTCAAAAAATATATTTGAACCATTTTTATACATGCTCAGCAAATATCTATGTGTACAATCAGGGGTTAAGTAGACATGTTCAGTGTGTAGGTTGACCCTAAGTCTTCAGAATAACCCTTGACTATCCGGGTTAGAATTGGTCTTCAGTAACCCATGCTTGTCGTAAAAGGCAAATAACATGGTCAGGTGAATAAATTCCAAAATTGGAATAAAGAAATTCCCAGTTTGTATTAATACATATTTGACTGATTTCGTGACTTCATTGAGATAACCTGTATTGCTCTGACAGCAGGATCAGGAAATATGATATCTAATATGGAAACTCAAAAAAGGAGTGAGAGTTTAGTTTTATGCCTCTTTCAGCAATATTCTAGCAATATCACAGCAGGCATCTCACAAGAAATGGGCTTCACACACTGTACCAATGTGGCAGAGGTACAGATAAGCTGCGTATCTGTGTAACTCAATTCCTTTTAAGACTATTGTGTACAAGTACGCTTGAATTTTGGTAAATATGTATGAATGTGATCTTACATGCGTACACACGAAAATGTCAAATCTTAGCTTGTGTGCCGGTGGATAGATAAGATAACTGAGATATACTGAGAGGTTCTAATTCAGCACCTAAACTTGGCAAGTTGTAGTCTTTCTTATCGTTCCTCATATTACAGATCAAATATAAATAACAAACACTAACATTTAAACTTTTTTATATTTTCAAAATTAATGGAAAACGGCAAAATACCCAATTGAGTTTGAGTGAGGTGAGTACAATTTATTTGGTTACTCAAAGGAAAATTAGGATACCCAATTAAGATGAACACAAGAAAGTAAATAACACAATGACCCAAAAAAGTTATCTGTAGCTCTGAATGTGGGGAATCGAACCCGTGTCTTTAGCATGAGGGGTGGTGGGGTAGCCTAGTGGTTAAGGCGTTCGCTCGTCACGCCGAAGACCCGGATTTGATTTACAACATGGGTACAATATACGACGCCCATTTTCGGTGTCCCCTGCCGTGATATTGCTGGAATATTGCTAAAAGCGGCGTAAAACTAAACTCACTCACTCTTTGGCAAGATGCACCAAAGCATAAGCACTAGCTACCCAACCATCTCTTAATGTGTAGAGGATGTAATGCTTAGTTACATACACACATGTATTGAATACAGTTTCTACATATGGTGTCACAATACTTCTTCATATGGTTTAGGGGCGGTGGGGTAGCCTAATGGTTAAAGTGTTGGCTCGTCACGCCGAAGACCCGGGTTCGAATCCCCACATGGGCACAATGTGTGAAGCCCATTTCTGGTGTCCCCAGCCGTGATGTTGCTGGAATATTGCTAAAAGCGGCGTAAAACCAAACTCAGTCAGTCAGTCAGTCATGAGATAGCGAATTAGAAATAAAGGTACACCTACAGACTATCGGATATCTTACAGCCATATTGTTTAGTGTCACATGCACTCCTATTACAGAGAAGCACGAGCAATAAAATGGAGGGAAAATAAGGGAGCATCAAAATAAACATTAAAATCGGATTATTTGGACCTTCCGGTTAGTAAAACTAACCAACAATTTGAAAATGAAAGGTTAGTTATCGCAAATTAAAAAAAATGTATGCATCTTTGAAACAACGAAGCTACAGAATTCTGATAGTTGGAGCAAATGAGCATGGGAAAGTTACCTAACCCTAACTATATTCGTTATACTACCCCTAAAAAAGGTAGTAACGGATATCCAAGGGCTAAAAAAGTAAGTACACTAAGATAGCGAAGTATTCAAAACTCAAGTCGAGTTGCGCACATTTTTTGCTCAGTTCTAAAGTTTTCAAAGATGGTGTATTCCGTAGTCTTTCCACTCGAATTTTTTTTTTTTTTATATTTCCACACTATCAGTATGATTTTATGTTCCAATTTTGTAATTTCCTTGCTATCAATATGTTTTGATGTTGCTTTCATGCTGACATATGGATGTCTTTCTTCCAGGTTTGCCTATTTTCAAAGAAGAACAACATTTTCACAGCAGGCTCCCACTTCTTCATGAGAGATCCGCTGATAACCCACACTAAGTCACAGCAACACATCGATGCTTTGCGTCTAGTACAAGGTTAGTGGCTAGAGAACTATCGAAACTCAAGGGGTTTTTTTTAATACCAGACCAGAGGACTGGTGTAAATGTTATTTCACTGGTCCTCAGAGTTATCAGGAAGTCCTGCATCTTTACTGTATAGGGGCGGTGGGGTAGCCTAGTGGTTAAGGCATTCGCTCGTCATGCCGAAAACTCAGGTTCGATTCCCCACATGGGCACAATGTGTTAAGTCCATTTCTGGTGTCCCCCGCTGTGATATTGCTGGAATATTGCTAAAAGCTGCGTAAAACTAAACTCACTCACTCACTTTACTGTATAATAACTGTTCCAGTTTTAAAAAAAAATTAAAACATTCAGAGCTGATTCAGAATTATTGGCCACAAATGCTACTAGACAATGAAGACTACAATCATAGGCTATGTACTTTTCCTGAGCAAAATTAAGTTGTCTAGGGCAACTGGACCAGTTTGAATTTTGAAGGCTTGATGAATGGTTGAATTCTAAGGCAACACTTTTTATTATCCCCCGCCGCGCGTTTAGTGCGAAGCGGGGAATATAGTATTAGGGACCATTCATAATTTATGGCTAGGGGGGGTGATGATGATTTTTATGGAGAAGCATGTACAATGTGAATGGACCCCCCCCCCAAAAAAAATATAATTAAATAAATAAATTATGTACAAAATAAGTCACCCCGTTGCATGTCATGTACAAAATCAATTCTCTTCCCCCCCCTCCCATAAATTCTAAGCATAATTTAAACATTTTTATGTACAAAATTGCTGACCCCCCCTAGTTCGTGTGTACATGCACCAGAATGCCGTCGGAATGAAAATTCCTGGAGATTCCTGGAAATTCGAACGGCATTCTAAAACTTCTTTCTCCATTCTGAATGCACTCCAACTATTCGCGTCAATTTTTGTAACATGCTCGAATGTTTTGAACATGTTCAAAACTTTCGAGGTACATTCGAAGTGGAAAAATATCGAACAACATTTGAAGTGCATTCTAACTGCATTCTCACTGCATTCTAACTGCATTCTAAGTATTCTGAACGAATTTGAGGGAGAATCGAAAAGGCAAGCCACTTCAAATCCTGCAAGAATGTCCCGAATGCGTCTCGAATGTATTTCGATTGCTGGTGGAATTTAGGTGGAATATTCTTCAAATATATAGGAATATTTCGATTGCACTTGGAATACAGCTCGAATGTACATGGAATACACCTCGAATACAGTCAGAACGTCCCGAATGCTCTTGCAATGAGCCCTGACGTCATCGGAACACTGCCGAATCAAGCTGCGCAAGTTGTCTTTTGCCTCCTGGCACCACGTTGTGCTGCTCATCTTCATCATCCACAATACCATTGTGAAGATTAGGATAACGAGTCCTCATCAAGTTGTGCAGGCAGACACAGCATTCAATGATGTCCTTCACAACGGAAGACCTTGACAGCATGGTAGTGAGGAGGATTTGCCACCCTGGACCATGATTCCAAATGCATTTTCCACTAGCCGTTGGCCCCTGCAGATCCTGTAGTTGTAAATTCTTTCGTCTCTCTGGAGAGTCCTATGACCATACGGTTTCATCAAGAAGGCCCTTATTCCAAAGCCATCACCTCCCAGAATAAAACATGGCATACGCTCGTCATCTCGGGGTAAGGGGAACGGATCAGGAAATCCAATGCTCCTTGTCCTCAAGGCAATCCTTGAGCTCGCACTCGTTGAAATTCTGAGCATCAGACATACTACTAAGCACCAACGTCAACCCACAGGAACTTGTAATTTCCATCCACAAGGGCCATGAAGACCACAGAGAAGAAGCCCTTGTAGTTGTGATACAATCAGCCGCTCTTGCCAGTTTTCCCAATGGCCACAGGTCCACTACAGGTGAAGAATGACTGCGTGTCCTCAAATCTGAGCTCCTCCATCAGTCTTGTGTAATGTCCATACAGCTTCCTCCTTTCCTTGGTCTTCTTCTGGGCCTTCCCCTGTTTCTTCTCCTGGCCTCCTCCACATCTCTATCAATCAGGGCTTGCTGGAGGACAACAATCTGGAGCAACGCAACTTGGCCCAGGTGGTCCATACTCTATGGGAGTTGGGCAGTGACTGATGCATAGTCCAGATTCAACAGGTTTTTATACCCCATCGTGGAACATTCCGGCGGCATTCTTGATGCATTTCGGACATTCGTATTACATTCTAAGTGCATTTGAAATATTGGAGCTGCATTCTGTTTTATTCTTTAACATTCGATCCATATTCGGGGGTCATTCCAAGAGGGTTCTGAATGCATTTTATGTAGATTCGTACAGCATTCGAGGTACGTTCCAACTGAAATTCGAGTACTTTTCACGCAGCAATTGAACCGGACTCGTACGGCAGTCGAAATTCATTTTAAGTATTCTTAGTGTATTCTAACGACATTCTAATTATTCCTTCTGTATTCCGATTCATTCGAGCTGCATTCGTGATCTAGTACATTTGGAATGAGTAAGAATCATTGGAGGCGGGTTTGAAGTGCGTTCTAAGTATTCCAACAGCATTCTTACAAAGCTTGAAAGAAATTTTTATATTGACATTCTCTCCCGAATGAAGTTCGAATTTTGGAAATATTTTTTCCTGGCTGACTCTCCTTGATTCCTGTCAATTCGAAATAAGTGTGAAGGACCCTTTAGGCTCCGTCCGTACGTACGAATTGGAATATCTTAAGCACCGTTGACTAGATTCTTTTCATATTTGGTACCTAGGTTCATCACAGTATAAGAAAGGTCCCTGTCAGGTTTGGTGACCTTGACCTTAATTTCAAGGTCACAAGGGAACTTTAACGTTTTACCCTTGTCAGCGGGATATCTCAGGAACCATTCACTACATTTTCTTCATATTCAAGACCGAGCTTTATCTAGAGAAGGCGCGCTGGGCCCAGTTGATTTTGGTGACCTTCACATAAGGTCACTACGACACTTTGAAGATTTCAGCATGTTAACTTGAATTCACTGGATTTTCTTCATAGACTTTCAAGACTTCCCTTGAATATTTTTCAATAGCAATTTCTTTAGTACCATTTTTGCATATTTCATACACTATGACATTCATGTCAAGGTCAAAGTCAGTCTTGAAAATATTTGTGTGTTTGAACAACTAAAGAGCAAGATATCAAGAGAGGTTGACTGGTCATGTTTTTGTTGACATTTAACTTCATCTTAAACTGGGCGGTGGAGTAGCCTAGTGGTTGAGGCATTTGCTCGTCAGGCCGAAGACCCGGGTTCGATTCCCCACATGGGTACAATGTGTTAAGCCCATTTCTGGTCTCCCGTCGTGATTTTGCTGGAATATTGCTAAAAGCGACGTAAAACCAAACTCACTCACTCACTCATCTTAAACTTTTATTACTTTTTAAGTTTGATTTGATAATTTGCGGCGGGGGATTATGTCACCATAGTGACAATGCTTGTGATTATTTAATTTTGCTTTTTTATTGTACAAAGCTATTTCGAATAAAATATCAGTATGGTGTCAGTTTTCCAGGACATGTTTGTTACTTTTCCTGGAAAGAGTTCAACTGGTTCTTTTGTAGAAACATTATATGTTTCCTTATCCTGACTCGTGCTATATTGCTTATCTCCTTTTCTCTTTCGCCGGTTACGTGCATCCCTTTGTTCCCAAGAACAGTCACAATTCACTCGCCCATCAGAAGCCCCACTTTACCACCAAAAGCCGCCTGAGCCATGCTCTCATCACTCTCTCCTTCATCGCCCACGCGGACGGTTGGGCGGTTTCCTGGGTCCCTTTTACGGCTCATATCCTTAATACTTTCGGCCAGATTTTCAAATTAAGGCCATGAATTGTAATTTAGGACCTTATATTATCATAGCTATGTATTTATTTATGGAAATTACAGCTAATTTCTAAGGGTTTTCTCACTCCATTTCAGGTGACTGTTTCTACATGGTGGCATGCAAACAATGCAGGTTACACATCTCAGTGGCTAATCCAAACCCTGTGTGTTCTTTTTGCGTTAACAAATTGTGTTCTCTTGCCTCACGCTGTAAATATTGTGAACATTTATCAGAATTTGCATTTAATAAATTTTTGTTATCCCCTTTACTAGTGGTACACCGATCGATCAAATAATCAGTTTATTGATCGTTTGACAATCAAATTTCGATTATCGATTTAAAAAAATTCCAATCAATAACACTGTATACTATCTTCAAGAATAACATTAACGATTGGTGTGTACATGCAAGATTTGTAAATACCTCCTGGTAGGCTCGCCATCGCAGCCGTAATACAGGAAGTCAAGTCTATTTATAGCTTGCTGGGGGAGCAGTCGTTTTCTTCTTGTGCATGTAGTGGCTTGCAGTGTTATAACAGTTTTAGCGTGGATGCATATATTAGTTAGCCCCATGTTTAATTACATGTTTAAATGTGCAAGCATTGATGAAGTTTTAAAAAAACCAACATATACTCCTGAGAAATATAACACGTGATCGAAACAAGCAGTTTGATTGGCTGGGCAGACTGTCAACAAAATGCCTGATTTCCTGCACATGTGTTCGCTTAGAGAAAACATTTTGTATTTGCAAAAGGCTCAATTCTCATTGAATTTTCAAGAACAAGGTTGGAAATGGATAGCTTTATCGATACTTGTCACATCTACTCTTAGATCTATAGCCGTTCTATTCTGATTTCTGCATCAAAGTCTACATGTAGATCCTGAGTTCAACTTTCTCAATTTTCACACACACAAATAATAATTGACGTTACGTATCGTTTAACTGTAAATAGTGTGATCTAAATTCATATTTGTTGCTCCAAGATTTTCAATATCCTATCAAAGTGTTTAATCCATATCTAAGAAGAATGGGTTACAATCTCGTGTCATATGACAGATCTTAATTACAAGCGATCTTGTAGTAGTCATCTCATCCAGCTGGTCTTGTGTTCATAAGTCCATACTTGTAGTAGAAGACATCGAAAATCGATTATGGTTTTAGAGGTCGATTCCCAACACTACCGTTTACGCAAGACTATGGACAAGCTTAGGCGTGACAGCAGGGTCACCGCTGACCACGGCGTTTCCCAGTCATCTGATCGCGAGTTGTCTCCTCTACCATCCACAGGGAATGCTAACATTCACTTATCCGTTGATTTTTTGGAGTCTCCCCTCCAGGGTTATTCCCGTCTCTGCCACTCTTGCAGAGACAGCAACTCAGCCCTTCTGTAAGAGGAAGTCTCCTCTTAGGAAGGGGTCTGACTACCAGAAGCTGAAGAAGAAGAAGCCATCATCCTCTTCAAACTCATCCTCATCGAACCCGTCATCATTGAAGGCATCTTCATCGAGGTCATCGTCAAACGACCCGACGATTTGTTGTACTCAGAGCCACCGGTTCCCGAACCAAGAGCCTTTGTGAGGCCCTCACAGCAGACGACCTCTACAGGGTTCACGAATCCTTCCATGCAGAATGGTTTCGCGCAGCCTTTTAACCAGCAGGACTTCGTGGACCAGATTACCAGGAAGGTAGTCATGGCAATGCAGCAGCAGTTCTCCATGGAACTCCAGCGTCCCCTCAACCTGTCTAAACCAATGGCTTCCATTGCAGACTCCATCATCGAGGCAGTTCCGGCTTTGGACGGCGACGCACATAAGGATCCGGACTCAACCATCTATACTGATGTTGAGATGGTATCCTGGGTTTCAGATGGCTTCCCAATATTTTCACCAACTCGTGACTCCAACTTGGCGGAGACCTATTGCATCAGAGATGACGACCTCAACACTTTGATGATTCTGCCGATGAAGCCGATATCGCAGGTCCCGGAGAACCTGAAGACAGCCTTTGCGAAGGCAACGGGGTCCAAAGGGCAGCATACCCCATCGTTCAGTGCCAGGAACCTCCCGCTTCACAACATGGAACCATTCCTCAAGGTTCTGGAGATAGATGAGGATTACTCATTACTCAGCGACTCCAAATCATGCAGTTATACAGTTGATGACAAGAAATTGGCGCAACTCGACACGACTACTAGAAGGGAGTTCTTCGGCCTTGCAAGATCCCAGGCCATCAACGAAGCCATGATCAACGCCTTGCAGAACCCGAAGACTGACGGGGATCGGATGGCCTTGCTGCCTGCAAAGAAAGCCGTAGGGATTCTGGATCAACGCAATCTCACCCCGGCTTCTACTCCGTGCACCTGCATGTTGAAAGTGAGAGGAAGCGTTGCCAAAGAAGAACTCCAAAGAGAAGTTCCGCCTCATCTACAGCATGAAGCGTTTCAACCTAGACTACTTGCTGAATCCGGACAAGTTCAAAATGCTGCATTTACCACAACTGCGACATCTCATCAGACCCAACGATTACTTAGCCAGCATCAATCTGCAAGACGTCTACCTGCCCATCCCCATACATCTCCAAGTATCTACAATTCCTGTATCAAGGGCAGCACTACCAGTGGAGGGTCCTCCCCTTTGGAATTTCTTCGACCACGTGGCTATTTACACGTGTAACCAAGCCCATCATTGCATATCTACATCAGCGGGAATTTCGCAGTGCCTTCTACCTTGACGACATCATCCAGGCGCATCAACTAGCAGATCAACTTGGACGTCAACTGCAGTTTACAATCCATCTACTGACGCAGCTTGGCCGGCTAGTCAACCACATGAAGTCGGAACTAGAGCCATCACAGGATCTGCAGTTCCTCAGCATCAGGTTCTAGACCACAGAGAATCACGTGACCGTTCCAGCCGCTTTCAACTCACCATGACCGATAAGAGCATGACAGTGTCTACTATGCCTCCTCACGTCAGCACAGGCTCTCACATGCAGAGGAAGACTGCAGTTACGACCCTACAACGCTGCCTCAGGCCTCATCTCGACAGTCTGCAGAAGATTTCCATCCCTCAGCATCTGAAGTCGTATCTACTCTGGTGGACGGACAAGTCGAATGTCTGCTGCGGAACCTGTTTGAAAGAGCCGGCCTACAACCTTCATCTCTTCGTAGACAGATATCTACAAGGATGGGTGGCGGTGGGGTAGCCTGGTGGTTAAAGCGTTGGCTCGTCACGCCGAAGACCCGGGCTCGAATCCCCACATGGGTACAATGTGTGAAGCCCATTTCTGTTGTCCCCCACCGTGATGTTGCTGGAATATTGCTAAAAGCGGCATAAAACCAAACTCAGTCAGTCAGTCTACAAGGATGGGGAGCACTTTGCAACAAACAGGTTGCATCAGGAACCTGGTCGCCGGAAGAAAGGGCTCTACACATAAACCAGCTGGAATTCAAGGCGAAGAATTTTGACTGTTTTAGGGAACAAAGGGATTCAAGTTTCCATGTAACTGTCGAAAGGGAAAGGGAGATAAGCAATATAGCATGAGTCAGGATTACATTACCTTTCACAAAATAAAAATATGACGTGTCAACCAAGTCTGCGAACCTGACCAAGTGATCCATCCTCTTACGCAAGTATGGGTTGCTGAAGGCCAGTTCTAACCCAGATCTTCATGGATATGTGCACACAGAAGATATGCATTCGACTCCCAACATTTGTGAATGTGTAAAGTCTAGGCCTAATGAAAATGTTTGTTTTACAGCGAGCATTTCTCTTTTACATATTTAATTCCACCTTAATCTTGCTGACTCCTCCAATGCCTTTGTTAAGGCTGGCATCTCTGGTTCATACTTTGGACTTTGAGCTAGTTTTTTAAAATTTTGAACATCTGAGACAGATGGAGACCAGTCTGTAACCAATGCTAACCATGGTAACAAATCATCAGCTATCTTTCAGTTTCCTCAGCGTGGTTTGTGGGTGGGCAAGATTCATTGACTTCAATTAACAGTTTGGTGTAACTGAAGTTTGAAATTATGCCAAATTACCCTAGTGAGTGCTCCATGTTAACTGATGCTCTCATGGCAGTTGATCTAAACCAGTTACTGAACCATCTCCTTTCATACATGCTTCATACATGGATTTATCTCTGAAACATTATGAAAAACCCATCAAAAGTTGAGATTGATAATAAGATGTGTGGTTGAGATTGACATCCAATGATCAAGGAAAAAACCACCAGCGCCTTGAGCATGCACTAGTACGTGGATATGTGCGCTATATAAATATCCAGTAATAATAAATAAATAAAGTAAAACCCAAACAACAAAACAGTTTTTCAATTGAAGGAATAGTTATTGAATTCAACATTTCAGCTTCATGTCCTGCCATGATTACAGGTGGCAATATGCTACTTCTGTTTTCATGGGAGATAACTCAAGTCCCTGTTCTATTTATGAGTTTAACTAACTCACGTTCAAGTATCAGTTGTACCTAAGAACCAATGATATCGCAGGTATCGGTGAATTGTTTCAGCCGTGCATATGACAAGTTCTCGTTTTTCTTGTCAAAATTAGTTGACCACTAACTGAACTCCCAGCGATAGAAAATCAAATCTCTGGGTACCACATATTGCCATTTGTCCTTGATGGGCTGGAACAGTTTTGAGCTCAAACCTTCCTGACCCCATCCTGACCCAACTGCAGTTGTGTGCTGCTTGTCAGTGCTGCTAGCCCTTTGCTCAGTAGCTGGAAATGTCAGCTTCCAGATGTCAGCTGCCATATTGGTCTACAAGCAGTGACCACAACCCATGTGTTGTTATTTCACTCAGTGACAGGCAGTTCAATGTGTGAAGCCCAATTCAGGTGTCCCCTGCCATGATATTGCTGGAATATTGGTAAAAGCGGCATGAAACTAAATTCACTCACTCACTGTATGGATTATATTTTTCTTTTTATAGATATGTAAGACGAGTATATGGATGGCAACTTCTTCTTTATTGTATGACACAAGGTTTCTTGGCTACTTCTTTCCCGTTCTTCAGGTGTTGAAGAAGGGGCAAGAAGTAGCCCAGAAACGTCAACTTCTAAATGCCTCTCAAGAATCTTTTTTATAGATATGTTTTCAAATAAGATAATAATATTTCTGGGATTAAACATCAATAGGTTTCTATTGCAGAAAATACGAGTCCTGGCCAGTCATTGCAGTGGCTTCAGATGGTGCACCGGTGCCAGGAACAGATCCAGAGTGTCATGGGATTGCAAAACGTGTTCGACTACACATGGCTCATCGACTTCCCCTGGCTAAAGTATGATGAAGTCGACCATAAAGTCTTCTGCAAGGTCAGTGTCGAACTTATTCTGTTTGTCCTACAAAACGAGGGGTCCAGAGGACACCAAGACTAATTTCAAGGGTCCTTACAGGAAATAAGATTGGTTGGTTTGTTGTTTAACGCCACATTCAGCAATATTCCAGCTATGTGGGATACGATGATGTATTAACCAGGAGTCTGGGGTGGTGGGGTAGCCTAGTGGTTGAAGCGTTAGCTCGTAACGCAGAAGACCTGGGTTTGATTCTCCACATGGGTACAATGTGTGAAGCCCATTACTGGTGTCCCCCACCGTGATATTGCTGGAATATTGCTGAAAGTGACATAAAACTAAACTCACTCACTCGCTCAATCAGGAGACCCCTATCAATACATTTTATGTGTCCTTGCTGGTAATGTAAAGTATTGAAATGGTGTGTTGTACTGTATGTTCAGAACCTGGAATGAATTAGTGATTATGTGGGCATGACTGATGGCAGTGTATGAAATAAGGCCCGTCCCACGGCCCGAGACGGGCTAGATTTCTGACGGACGGTCTAAATTTACAGCTAGCCAGCCCGATGGTCTGGTATTTTTTTTTAAGATATCCCATACATCTGAGTAAATTTACCATATCTTGGCGTCTGGTCTGGTTAAATCCATTTTGGGCAGGTAACAATTTGAAGTTACCAGCGCTGATGTCTGGCAGGGTTTTTGGCTTATTTCATACACTGCTGATGGTTGAAATATAAGACACAGATAACTACTCTTGATGCACTGTACCGCTGTGATGTTACAGGAATACTGCTAAAAGCGGAGTAAAACCAAACTCAGTCAGTCAGTGATGCACTATAGGTACGCTCTTGGCATTTTTGTGCATCTCTCTTTTGGGTTTTCTCTGCATTTCTACATTTATGCATCACATAAAGCCCTGAAGTCGGGCCAAATATTGTTTGGCCTTGTGAGCTCAATTAATAAGCGTCTGTGTGAGAACAGTGAATTTTACTAAAGTGGTACAAAGAGCCAAGCTTGTCAAGTTGATTCAAAAGGATTTGTCACAGGCTGACTAGTATTCATCAGTAGTTTGAACATATTATTATCCCCCGCCGCGCGTTTAACGCGAAGCGGGGTATATAGTATTAGGTTCCATACGTATGTACGAATTGGAATACCTTAAGAACCGTTGACTAGATTCTTTTCATATTTGGTACCTAGTTTCATCACAGTATGAGAAAGGTCCAATTCAAGTTTGGTGACCTTGACCTTCATTTCAAGGTCACAAGGGGACTTTAACATTTTACCTGCATGTTAAGCTATATCAAGAACCGTTCACTGGATTTTCTTCATATTCAATACCAAGCTTTATCTAGTGAAGGCACAGGGCCCAGTCGATTTTGGTGACCTTCACTTAATTTTCAAGGTCATGGCGACCGTTCACTGGATTTTCTTCATATTTAACACCAAGTTTTATTTTACCATATTCAGAGTTATCAGCCAGCCAGGTCCATTGGCCTAGGACCCTGAGTATGTTTGCTGACAGCATACCCATGCTTAAATCTTTGAAGGGCATTTAGAAGTGGAATGCATAAGAAAAGCAAGATTTATGGATGTCGACTACTTTATTGAGAATAACACAATGTTTCTGAGTGTATGCTTGCTCCAGGTGAATGATGAAGGAGACATCCATAGATCTTGCTTTTATTACCCATGCTTGTAGGTTTCACCGATGTGATAAAACGTGTAAGACCTGCATTACGCTGGCTTTCTTCCGTCATCAAGGGGACGGTGGGGTAGCCTAGTGGTTAAAGTGTTCGCTCATCACGCCGAAGACCTGGTTTCGATTCCCCACATGGGTACAATGTGTGAAGCCCATTTCTGGTGTCCCCTCCGTTATATTGCTAAAAGTGGCATAGAACCATACTCACTCACTCAATCACTCCTTCATCAAGCTGTTAGAGTGTGATGTAATGGACATACTCTTAAAATCTGCCTCAAAAAGCAGCTCACTCACTGAGATGTCCTGCTGAGCATTGTTCAAATCAAACTGATTCACTCGTGAAGGGGTGCTGGGATGGCCTAGTGGTTAAAGCATTCGCTTGTCACACCGAAGACATGGGGTTTGATTCCCTACATGGGTACAATGTGTGAAGCCCATTTCTGGTGTCCTCCGCCAGGATATTGCTAAAGCAGTAGGGGTGAAATGGTAGGCTCTTACCACGTATCCTACGTATTGCGGTACAAGGCCTTTGGTTCGGTCCTTTTCAGTTCGGTACATAAGATATGATCATAATGCAGAAAAGGAAAGAAACGCAGAGATTTTGACAAAATGATTCGATGTCTGGACATTTTAGAAAAGGTTAATAAAATGATACGAAAACCAAAAATACCAATATTTTGGATTGCATTACGGTATACCGAACCGAAGGCAAAATACCTCGGTTCTACTAATACCACAGTATATCGTTTCACCCCTAAAAAGCGGCCTAAAACTAAACTCACTCACTCACTCACTTTGTGAAATTTTGTTTGAGAAAGTTGAATTTCAGTTGTGATTATGCAATAATGTAACGTGTATGTCAATGCTTTACTTGCAGATCTGTCAAAAACACAAAAGAAAAACTTTGTTTGGACAGGGCGTCACTCTTTTCAGCCGACGTCGTATCCGTGAACACCAGAAAAACAAATGCCACATGGACGCTTTGCAGTTTGAGAACTTAACAATGGAAAGTAATGGTGAGAAGTTTGCACATTAAGAATATTGCAGAGATACGTTGTGACAAATTTTCTACAATATTACAGAGTTATGTATGGTTATGTGAACTTAAATCTGCAGAACGAAAACATGACAGAACCAAACTCAGTACTTATCCAGTGTCTTGACAGTTCACCAGGCTCCGATTTCTCGAAACAAACTTAAGTCTGAGTTTTGACTTAAGTTAGAGTTTTCACTCAAATTTGAGAAAATGCATTTTCCAGAATGAACTAAAATCGATAATAAACTCAAACATAGTGGACAATTTGAGTTTGGTGGATAGATTACTTAAGATGTTTGGGCTCTTTTATTTAAAAAATGCAGTTGAGTTTAAAATTCAGCTGTTTCAAATTGTCAAACTCAGTTTGAAATTTGAGTAAAAACTTAAGTTTGTTTCGAGAAATAGGGGCCAGGTCTGCTTGTTTTGACGAGTGACAGCATGTTGAGGAGAACAAAGACTTGTCATTCTTTACACATTTCAATTGTATCAATTCATCTCCAGTCATTTTTCATAAAAGTTTATAAATCTAAAATATGTTCTCATATCACGTATGTTTGTAGTAATAATAGCAAGATACATGGCGCTCTTATCATGAATAAATAGCATACTTTGAAACTGTCTTTTAAAGACATAATCAGAAAGTGTGTTGTGCAGCTGAGGTGTACAAATTAGTTTTGAAGAACAGTCCATACTACAGGATGCCATTATCCAGTTGGAACCGAGAACTCCTGAGTTAGAATTGGTCTTTAGCAGCCCATGCTTGTCGTAAGAGGCGACTAACGGGATCGGATGGTTAGGCTTGCTGACTTGGTTGACACATGTAATCGTATCCCAATTGGGTAAATCGATGCTCATACTGTTGATCACTGGATTGTCTGGTCCAGACTCAATTATTTACAGACTGCCACCATATACTGGAATATTGATGAGTGTGGCTTTAAATAATAAAAGAAACCAAACAAAAAATATAACCCAGTTGTATTGGTGGATCTCTGTCATCAATATTCCCAACTCAAATGTTAAAAAAAAAATTCTAAAATTTATTTCAAAATTTTATAGGGCAAGTGAAAATAGTGTAAGAGGTGAGGTGAAATTGGGTTTTACGTCGCGCTTGAGAATATTTCGCTCATATGACGACGTGCATGCGTGTGTATGTGTATGTGCGGCTGCTTGTACTAGTCCAGACTTAAGCTGGTTTTATAGTGCTAGCCCACTAAGATACCATGCCGCAGTGAAGCATGAATACTCCACTCAGACACATTATACTGACTCCGAGGCGACCAGTCCTTGTTGTACCCATTAATGCCGAGCGCCAGGCAGGGACCAACAAGTACCATATTTTAACGCGTCTTTCGGTTTGACGTGGTCGGGGATCGAACCCGACCTTCCGCTCTCGGGCGGACGCTTCTAACCACTACACCACGGAGGCGTAAATAGTGGAAGATGAGTCCAGAACATTATCTACATGCCTTGCAGGCGAGTTGGGTTGGAGAAATTGTAAAGCCTTTTTACCATGCTTATGCATTCTAAACATCCTTTGTATTATATTGTGTAATTCTTTTGTAAAAGAAGTAATGTCTTCAAGAAAATATCAACCATTCCAATTTTCTTTAATTTTGTGTAATGGGCACACCTGGGCCAGTCATCTAAGGCTTCAAGATTGTGGAAAGTTACAATTCTGGGTTTGAATCCTGGTTGGCAATGGCGATTTCTATGTTTTAAGCACCAGACCCATGCTGTTACAGGTTGCCGTCTTATAACTGCTTTGAGTGGCATTTAGAAGTTGGTGTGGTGAACAAGGGGGATAGTTCTATGGATATGCAACATCTTTCTTAAAATATGTGCGACATTTCGGTGGAGATGCTAACACTGTTATCAAGCACTGATGAAATGTCGCATATATTGTAATAAAGTTGTATATTCATAGAACTATCCCCCGTGCCATTTTATACTTGGAATATTGCTTGTTATAACATTAAGCTAAAAACATTAAGGTTAAAACTTATTCTATTTCACAAAATGCTTTGCAGCTAGCAGCATGTTTGTGGAACGGTTGGTTATGAATGAGCTGTGTTTAAATGAAATGTCAAGACAATGGGCATAAAGGATACATGGTTTTTATTTGTTTCCTCTCAGCATCAAGAGCACTTAGCAAATATATGTGACGTTATGTCATTAAAGTGTCAAATTTGTTAAAAAATTCAATAAATCTTTCTGGTTGGTACTTCATAAGGGCCCATTGATAATTTATGGCTAGGGGGAGCGATGATGATTCTAAGAGGGGTCACCCATTTTGTTCTCGGGAGGTAGTGGGGGGTCATCAATTTTGTATAGTGTTTTGGGGGGGTTTATTATTTTTTGGGGGGCAATCACATTGTACATGCTTCTCCATAAAAATCATCATCACCCCCCTAGCCATAAATTACAAACTGTCCCTTATTATTATTGTTTGTGTTCAGCAGCTCTGAATCATTTCTTTTATGTTATGTCTGTCAATATTTTCAGGTGAAATCAAGTCCAAGACTGTTATGAGACTGGATGCAAATTCGGAACTCATATTCAGTATGGAGACAATGGACACTGAGAAGGAGCCACTTCAGTGGAACAGAATAGCTCCACCTGAAGACGATAACAAAATCCCACCGAAGGAAACTGATATGGATGTCCTCAGTATTAAGAGCGAAGACTCATTCCAAAGTCCTAAATTAGTTGCTGCTGGCCCATACAAAGTGTCTCCCGCCCTGTCGCCAGTGGTCATGCTTACAGATGTGAGAAAGAGTCCTCCCGATACTTCCCTCAGTGAAGGCAGACGGACATCGTTTTCCAAACACAGCAGCTCCCAGAGTCAGGGCAGCAGAATCAGAAGTAAACAGTCCAAAGACATGTGCAAGAAATATGTCTCAACTGGTGATTCAGGAAGTGAAAAAAGCCCTTCCACCAAGCGAAACAAACGTCCAGCAACACCGTGTTCACCAGCTTCATCTCTTGGGAGTCCTCCTGTGAGGGAACAGGATGTGGATGCAGACATCAACACATTGTTACCTCTGGTGGTGATGGACAGCATTGATACTGTACCCAAGTCGGTAGCGAAAAGGTTATGTTTTGATAGCCAATCTGATGTTGGTTTGGCTAATGGTTTGTCTAGTACTGATCCAAGCAGGCAGAAAAGATTTGCTGTTAATAGTGAAAAGAAGCTGAAGGAAGATCCAGATGACATCCTTATTAACTATTTATCTTGTCCTGCTGATACTCCGAAAAAGAAATGGTCGGAAAATATAGACGCATCTTTGTGGAAACCTGTTGTTGTGCTTGATGACATTGCAGAGGATTTGTCAGTTCTGAATGCACATTCCTTTCGAACAAAACTTCATTGTGGTCAGACTAAAGAGAAAACTGTTGACACATCCAAGAAAGCACCTAAGCGATTACTTTCAACTGACACTGAATCCGTGGCATCCAAGAAAAGCAGGGACGAAGATCATGATGTTAATGATGACGTACCTTTGAGTGTCAGAGTTGAGGTTAGTAAGGCAAATAATAGTAAGACAACAAGGCCTTCAGATCTTGTTAATGTTGGAGAGAGTGAAATTGTTGGACTCAATGAAATAAAATCCAGTACTGGAAAGAAATTAAGGAATGCAGACAAATGTTCTGCGGAAGTTTCCCTCGAGACTGGAAGGTGTCGAAGTAGTCGGAAGAAAGGTGCAGAGTCGACATGGTCGGACACCGAGCCTGCTGAACCTTCGCCAGGCAACGTTTAAGAAAGACGCAAAGTCTACGCGGTCGGACACAGAGCTGGCCGAACCTTCACAAGTGACATTTGATAATAGTTACGATATGATGGAGATTCTAGATGGACTTGATCTAACGGACATGATGATGTGTCATGTTGTACTTAAGCGGATAACTGTTTGATGCCAGAATAGTTGAAGCCATGAGTAGAGCTTGTTACAGGCCCGCTTATGGGGACAAAACCAAAGCATGGAAGGAATATGATTTTTTTGTTTTTCAAAATGAACTGCCTAAATATTGGTCAGTTGGACTGCAGAAATTTTGTTCAATTGTGTGCCACTTTGTGTGCCACAAAAATCTTCATAAATCAACTCAATAATTTAACAAACTGATTAAAAATGAACATGACATGTGTTTTTTAATACCGAGAACTCTGTTGGGTTTATGATACTGATGTGTTAAAATAAAATTCACACTTACTGTAGAAGATTACACTATCTGTTTTTTCTGTGTTTTCCATCTCCAGCCTGCCCAGAATTTATATTTTGACATGAAATGAAAAAATGGTGCCTTATCCCAATTTTACCCAGTGCTATGGCTGTTTACACCCTCATATGATAAAAATGGTTTTGTAATTCCCTACACACTCCTGAACAACAACAGTTGAGAAGGATCTGTTTTCATCTACATTTATCAAAATGTTGCTGCCAATGCAAAGCGACTTGATCAACAACATAAATTTAGTAAAAGTCTATTAAAAACTGATCTAAATTTATAAATTTCATAAAATAATTTACAAAATAATGTGAAAACCTGGCTCAGGTTGGGCATGAGAAACACATAAAAAAAATATGGTGGCTCAACGCACATGCTTTTAATCATGGGTGTTATCATGTTTACCGATACTCGTTATCAAAATTTGTTGTCGCTGATACATTTTAAAAAGAACATCTTATGACAAATTTACAATTTGGCACAAATTCTGTGGTCTTTTCTGAAGTTATTCTCCTGAATTTTATTCTGGTTGTGTTGCTGTATAATGTTTATATTCTGTTAGCATGAGTTTGTCTCCATGAGTTATATATATGTGTTTTGTGGGCAAGGTTTAGGAAGTTAGATCTGCTGTATGTGTGAAGCCCATATCTGGTGTCCCCTGCCGTGATGTTGCTGGAATATTGCTAAAAGTGGCGTAAAACCATACTCACTCACTATAGATATACTCCACATCAAGGTCTACTGTTGAGATCATGTGATTGGTCCATTGTTGTCAGCTGATTGGTGACAGCATCCTTCAGCATCAGATGGTTTTGTCAGAAAGTGAAGAATGATAAGTAAAGCTGAATCCATTGTACTATTTCCCTATAAACTCAAGTTTAGTCACTCTGTATGTACAGTCGACTCTGAAGAAATCTCAAAATGGATAGGTAGATACTTAAGGTGCCCACAACATCTTACGTTACTCCCCATCTTGAAATAAGTCAGGGGTGTAGTTCTGGGCCTACATATTCAAAGCTCTCTTAACGCTGAGACAGACGTAAGTGACATACATTAACATTAAGTTAAGACTATCTTGGCGCTAGGAGAGCTTCGACAATCTAGGCCCAGGGCATTCAGCAGTTACAAGTGTTTGCACAAACACTCTGGTAGACTAACAGCTTGTCTCTGAAATAAACATATTTTACAGAAAATAGAAGTTTTTAAATTGAAAATTAAATACAATAAAAGGAGACTTTCTTCAATTTCATTTTCCTGAAACTGCGGTAATCTAGACATCTAGACTGAGAATTTTCCATGGATCCGCGGAATTCCGGGAATTTCATAAGGCCAGGGGTAATTTTTGTGAATCATCTAAATCTGTTGACAATTGTATGAATGTGCTTCAGCAGATTTAAAGTTTTGTAATGAATGCTGTGTTCATGATATTGTCATTTCTGAGCCAGTTTTAAAGGTCTAAAATGCCTATATATCAGGAGCTTCGGCTAGTTTTCAGAGTTTTTCTCGCAACTTCATTCTCATCCCTGCATTCTAGACTTGCATGGGCTGCACTGGGTATATTTGTTTCAGGGTCTGTATGACAGACTTACTCTCTGGATACAAGGACACATGTGTCATTATGGAACTTTTAAGTTAATCAAATTTGAAAACCAGCATAAATTATTGATTTATATTAACAGTTATGACCCTAGTTTGATCTTTCTATGGAGACAGGACTTCTCTGAAACCATAGTTTGTAAAGGGATACATATAGAGAATCTCACCCGAGTGTCTTTTGATATCAAATATATCATCACGAGTTGATAAAGTTACAAATATCCGAGGCTTGCCGAGGATATTTTTACTTTATCAACGAGTGTTGATATATTTGATATCAGAAGACACGAGGTTGAGATTCTATTTATCATCCAAAATCACTCTTCATTAATTTTCAATGAAAAATGTACATCTCTGAACATGGTACTGCCATTAGACTTGCAGTGCAGCGATGTCATAGCATTGTGACGTCATCAAGTACATGACGTCATAGCATTGTCAGGGCATTGTACAAAATCTACTGTCAAAACGATATCTGCTAGGAGATATCGTTTGATCTCACACAAGCGATATCTCCTGTGGAACACAGTTTTGGATGATAAATTCAGATCAGCGGAAAAAAACAAGCATAAAAAATAATGATATACACAGTTATGGCCCTTGTCTTGTTTTTGGACATGGTGCGCTGTACTGAAAATGGGGCACAATTTCTTTGAAAATACTATAGATGCGAGGATGGCATTTTACATACGTCATCTTGGAAGAAATATCTTTGAAGAAATGGCATCAAACATTAGTATTTGATAGCGTTATGGTCCTTGTTCTACCTAGTTTGGGCTTGATGTACAGTTCCACCTGTTTGGAAACCAGTGTATACAGCATTTATGAAATGAGAAATATGAGATGAATATGTAAAGTTAAGAAATCAAGAATAAATTTATACGGTTATGGCATTTGTTTGAAGACCTTTTCTTCAAATGATAGTATACATTTCAAGCATGTTCAAGGGTATAACTGATTATCCTATTGAATGGATTTCATGAATTTTGATGTCTGACAAGTAAGTGCTAAATGCCGTTTTAGGGGCGGTGGGGTAGCCTAGTGGTTTAAGCGCTGGCTCGTCTCGCCGAAGACCCGGGTTCGATTCCCCACATGGGCACAATGTGTTAAGCCCATTTCTGGTGTCCCCCGCCGTGATATTGCTGGAATATTGCTAAAAGCGGCATAAAACTAAACTCAGTCAGTCAGTAAATGCCGTTTTATCTTCTGTAAATTTTTTAATGTTATCTTTTGTCTTTTTGAGACAACAAAGCAAATGAAGGTAGTGTTACCTTCCTGTGCCAGCCTTTCTGTTATTTATCCAAAACCATTGACTTAGTTCCATGATTTGCAATTAATGAGTCAACTGTATATAGATTTTGTATACTTTCTATGTACAGTCATCAGAGGATGAATAATTGTCTTGCTGTCACAATCCTGCTCGAAGCAGGTGCCCCCAGTGCGCTGCAATCGTTTGTTGCAACATGAAGTCTTACCAGGATCCTCTGATTATGAGTTTGAATCCCAGATTTGCCTCCATTACGATGATTGGTCTATCAGCACCAAACTTGTTCTTGATTGTTTCACCCAGGTGAAAATAGTGGTCGACCTGATAGTGTAGGGCTCAAAGCAGGTGCCCCCTCAACCAGTGGGTTGCAATCGTTTGTTGCAACATGAAGTCTGACCAGGATCTTCTGATTATGAGTTTGAATCCCAGATTTGCCTCCATTACGATGCTTGGTTTGTCAGCACCAGACTTGTTCATGATTGTTTCACCCAGGTGATAATAGTGTACAACCTGATGGTGTAGGGCTCAAAGCAGGTGCCCCCTCAACCAGTGGGCTGCAATCGTTTGTTGCAACATGAAGTCTTACCAGGATCCTCTGATTATGAGTTTGAATCCCAGATTTGCCTCCATTACGATGCTTGGTTTGTCAGCACCGGACTTGTTCATGATTGTTTCACCCAGGTGAAAATAGTGGTCGACCTGATAGTGTAGGGCTCAAAGCAGGTGCCCCCTCAACCAGTGGGCTGCAATCGTTTGTTGCAACATGAAGTCTTACCAGGATCCTCTGATTATGAGTTTGAATCCCAGATTTGCCTCCATTACGATGCTTGGTTTGTCAGCACCGGACTTGTTCATGATTGTTTCACCCAGGTGATAATAGTGTACAACCTGATGGTGTAGGGCTCAACTAATTGACGGACTGATATGGATAAAATCTGTAAGCAGTAGTAAGATGGCAAGGCCAGTTGTTTTGTAAAAACACCGAAATCAGATATGTTAAGTGGTGAGTGATGATTAGGATAACACTTTTCATTGTATATTTTATTTTTGTAATAAACAAAAATATGGCAAACACCATATTACTTCTGTGTAGGTTTTTGTCCAAAGGAGAGAGGAAAGCGTGAGGAATTGCAGGTTTTGATCGTGATTTCCTGTTAAGCAGATTGCATCCAACTGCTCAAGTATAAAATGAAGCTAATTTTTTGTTGTGGATTGTTTGCATGAGGAAGACACGCTAAACATGAATGTATTCTTTTCTGTTGTAGTAACCATGGCAACACTACTCAAATGTTTTCATAGTTGATCTAACAAGAAAGATATTTGAAAATTCTTGTCTGAGGTCGAGTTGTGCTTCTGTGTATGGTCTAATTTATTGTTATGTCATTCAGTGTTCTAAATCAGATCTGGTGGCATCCAGGAAAGTCTTGTTTATGTACCTGTTAAATGTCTATTTGACCATGTATTAGAAAACATGACTATAAATAAATTTGCTGCAGATTCAGGGCTCGATTTAAGCATTTAGAACTTGCACTGGTGCAACCTGAAACTGCTAAATGCAACCTCTTGTGTATACCAACTCGCACCCAGTGCATGTTAGAGAACACAGACTTCAGCTGGAAAACAGAATGATGAGGAACTGGCTTGTTTACTGCATGAACAGTGAACAGTGACTGAAGGACATACAAAATGTACTTTACTGTTCATGAAAGTCTAGGAAGTAAGATAACTAGTCTTATCAGACCCAGGGGCGGTGGGGTAGCCTAATGGTTAAAGCGTTTGCTCGTCAGGCCCAAGACCCGGGTTCGAATCCCCACATGGGCACAATGTGTGACGCCCATTTCTGGTGTCCCCCGCCGTGATGTTGCTGGAATATTGCTAAAAGCGGCGTAAAACCAAACTCAGTCAGTCAGTCAGTCTTATCAGACCCAGATTTCTTTTGTTATAATACTGTTCTATACTGTCTTTACCAAAACTCACACATCACATAACATTTTATATTGAGCTGCAGGTGCAACCTGATTTTGTTTGGTGCAACAAGATTATTGCCTTAGGTTGCACTGGGTGCAAGTAGGTTTCATTTCCTTAAATCGAGCCCTGAGATTGTATGTATCATCTAAGATTTTATGATGTAATTTTAGA